AAACTCGAGTGGCATGGGCCATGGGAGGACTTGGGTAAATTTCTAAAAAGTGGTTCAGTTCCTCCAACATGGAAGTTCACTCTCGAACAACTCCTAGACCCTACACAGATAATAACAGCTGTGAGGGAGAGAGGTCATGATAAACCCATAGAGAGACAGTTGGTAGATGCATGTGGGGCTTTAGCCGTTGCCTACCAAAAGTTGCTCGATATGGTGCAGTCCTCACAGGAAAAAGGAAAAGATGAAAACGAGAGGCCTGATTCAAGGGTGACTCCAGATAAGGCCAACTCCAAGGGACCAAACAAGTCAATGGAGGTTGCCCCTATCCAAAAGAAGAAATATAAGACCAAATCAGCCCGCCCAGTTGATGATGATGGGGAAGCAGGACCCTCACAGACAGCCAACCCGGAGCCAGAAATCATCACTGAGTCCTTATTGTATGACAGCCTCCGAAAATTACGAGCAGACGTCATTCGTCACTTGAATGAGCCTATACTGACATGGATGATCCGAGTCTGGGACTCTACGGGTGATGCCATAACCCTTGATAGCGGTGAAGCAAGGCACTTGAGGTCTATTGCCCAGAATGTGGGCCTTGAAGAGGCATTTGTGAGAGAATCAAGGCCCCTCTCTCTCTGGGCACGGCTGCTGGATGCTGTGAGAGGGAAATTCATTTACAGAGAGGCCTTGCAGAAAGACCATTTTGTGAAGAGTTGGAAGACCATGGAGGAGGGGATCCGACGCCTGAGGGAAATGGCACTATTGGAAGTACTGTTTGGAAGAGATGTGCAAGCTAGTCACGATCCTGACCAGGTTAGATGTACACCATACATGTGGTGGAACTTCATGCGTATGGGGCCACCTGCACATGTCAGTTACCTGACATCACTGGATGCTGGAGAAAAGAGTGAGCCAGTGGCGCTTATAGTAAATAAACTTTGGATGTATGACAGTATAGCCCAAGAATCACTACACGCCCGTGTTTCCTCTGTAGAGACCTCACTCGATAACGTCACTACCATAATTACACAAATACAAGATCAACAAAAGGAAATGCTGGAACAGATGAAGAGAAACACCTCCCAGGTGGCACCAGTGAGAAGCGGGCGCCCCCCAGCTAGAGGGGGTAGACAGACCTCACGAACCGAGCTGTGGTATTTCCGATCTGGACATGGAGAAGACATGAGACAGTGGGACAGGAAACCTACCCATGTCTTGGCAGCCCGAGTACAAGAGTTAAAGGACCAGAGAAAAACAAATTCCGTGAAAGTGAGTGCAGTGCCGGTATCCCG